TATATATATATATATATATATATATATATGCACAAATACAACATATATATATATATTATACATATATATATGTATAATTTTCTGCAAAGTATAATGCAGTTGAAGAGATGGTTCCTTTGCGGAACAAGAGTTAAGATTTCTAGAAAGAAGCAGCAGAACAAATATAACTACTTATATTTCAACACCTGCAAAAGTAATCAATTAGCCATATCAACTGAAATCGTGGAATATAGGATATGCATATGCACATACCCCAAATAAAGCAAAAACACATTTTGCAATTTGCATTGGTTGACCATGTATGGTATGACAAGGAGGATACTTTCCTAGAGTCAAAACAGGGCTATGAAAGTAACTGCATCACTGCTCAATGCCTAAGAAAAAGCCCCTACCAAAACATTTCTGAGACTCTCCCTTAGCACTGCATCAGTCTTCTCCAGGAAGACTGCAGCACAGAAAGCAGAGATGAACTGGGAAGGGGCCAGAAAAGATGTAGCCAACAAGTGACATGTCAAAAAATGTCTAAGCAAATATTTCCAAAAATGTTTGATGCTCATATCTGGAATTAAAACATGAACTTTACAATAACTCAACATTTAATTCTTTCCTACAAATTATGGTGAATTATAGAAAGAAAGTAAAGAATGTTAGTATCAAAACCTAAGCCTTAAGAATGGTGACTGCAACACTGTATAATATTGAATACATGAGTGCAGCTTTTAAATACATTTCCCAGCCATGTTCTTCTTTTTACGCATGACAGCAAAGCAATAAGAGGTAGGATTTTAGGCCAATGGGATGCTTCAAACTGGAATGAAATAATGTGCCCTGAATGACTAGCCATGAGACAATTCACTGTGGGATAACTCACTGTAGCCAACTCGCCTCTTGATAACTCAAGAGAGGGACAAGTAAAATTGTAGCTTACCCTAGCCTCAAAGACTTCTAACCTAAGAAGATTCAACCCTAAAGCAAGACAAAGCCTGCTGCAATTCAATTGTCCCACTTTTGAGTTATGTCATGTTGAATATCCCATGATGATTCGGTCGGGGCAAGTTGTCCTAACCCCTTCATAACTCAGGTATTCACAAAACATTATCTGAAGAGTATCACATAAAGGATGATTTGGAAAACAATCCTAATATAAGCCAATATAGCGATAATAGCATTCTTGCAACTTATTTTTTAAAAATATTTTAAGGAAAAGCAATTACTCCCATAATACTATAACCATAGCTTTTCTAGACTAAGTCATATGTTATTCACTTATATGAATGGTGTAATAAATGAGTAGTTAAAAGTTCCTATACACATTAAAAAACAGAAAACGAACATGAAAATAATACAAGATAATTTATAGCACAATTTCTGCCCGCAATTTCTAAACACGTATAAAACAGCAGCTTTTAGTACAGCAAAAGTAGACTTTTCTGTTCTTTAAAATTTTATTTTTTAAAGATTTAGCACAGTTCACTACAAACATTTAAGACTTTTAAAATACAATGCCTTTCTAATGAAATATAGGTAGCCCTCAACTTATGACCACAATTGAAGCCAAAGATAAATATGTTGCTAAGGGAGACATTTATTAAGTAATTTTTGCTCCATTTTATCTTTCTTGATACAGTTGTTAAGTAAATTACGGCAGTTGTTAATTACATAATTGTTAATTGAATCTGGCTTCCCCAATGACTTTACTTGCCAGAAGGTCACAAAAAGTAATCACATGACCCTGGGACACTGCAACCGTCATAAATATGAACCAATTGCAAAGCATTCAAATTTTGATCATGTGACCACTGTGATACTGAAACTGTCATAAGTGTGAAAAACAATCATAAATCACTTTTTCAATACTGCTGTGACTCTGAACGGTTACTAAATAAATAGTTGTAAGTTGTAGACATAGTACTAATTGCTAGACTTAAAAATCATATTTCTTAAAAGGTATGTCCCATCTTCCAAACTGTATCACAAATTATTTTTGAAGTTCAGTTTTACAAAGGCATTCTGTCATGATGGTTATTTTATCAAACAACCCACGGAGTATATCTAAATTTTGGGATAAGCTTCAAAAGTCCCAAGTTTCCTGCTCTAAAAATATGAAACTATGATGTATTATTTATTATAATAGCACACACAGGTAATTTAAAACATACTTATTTTTCAGTCAAGCACATCTAAAATATGTAAATACCTGTTCCTGAAGATCGTAGTCATAATTATCATGCAGCAGAAGACTGAGGACATAGCGAGTATAAATCATGGCATCAATGCCACATTTTTCTAGCTCTTGTCCCAGCCAGGTCTGCACAGGGCCCAAAGCCTGAAGCAGAGACATTTCTGAAACAGATAAAGGACCCAGACAGGAGCTTGAGGAGCTTTCAGATGGCAAACCATCCACAACAACTGTATAGACTAGGTGCATGAATCTAGGTGGCTTTCATCCTTAGAACATGAAGCATT